TAAGCATCCTGAAACCTGTTCTGCCTAACATTCATAACATAATAGCCTTTTTGTCTGACCTAGGACCTAACTCTAAGAAGTGACAAACTGAGGAATGACACAGAGACTTGCTTTGGTCAAGACTTTTAGACTTGACCTCTGACCTTGCAGTGGGAGACACCTGTACTAGGTCATCTATTACAGCTGTAGAGCCAGGGAACTCCTGTTGCACATGATCATTGGATATTGTCAAAACTATGCAGATGTCCTGCTATAAATACCATACATGCCTCCCTTGTATTTAAGATATTATTATATAGCAGTGAATCATTGAACAAATCTTATATGGCCGTTGTACTCGTTAGTTTGATAACTGGATGTACTGAATAACAGCAATCAGTTTCGATTACAATATAGACTGTATCATTCTCCAGTCTCAAAGCCTGGCTACTAGAGAAGCCAAATGTAATAAAATAATTGACAATACAATTGAACTAGTTGTTGTTACAATGACTGTCGTTCTTTATGCTCAAATGTTTTGTTGTCACTGTCCTTGTACTAGGACATATGATGGATCCAGACAATCAAACATTTTGGTCAGGGGTGGTCCTCTGGCTAATGTCTTCAGACATTATGACATTTGGTATCGATCATCCAGACTCTATTGTCTTTTGCGTCCTTACACTGGACATCGAAGAGCACGTTCAGATCGGCCTCGTCGCATCGGCTGTGCCGGGAACTGCCGTCACGTCGGTCTCGGGCGGTGTGACTGGCCTCACAGCTCTCCCAGGACCGAGAATGGATGTCCCAGGGCCGGGGATGCAGACGGCGGTTGTTTCGGGGGATGAGGGTGTGTCCGGCGGTGGCTTGACGTGGACGGCCTGCTCCCTAATGCAAGGGAAGAAGAGAAAGTGCCCAGGGAAGTACATCCCGGGCCAGATGGATGGGTGGCTGACGTGTCAGGTCCATCAGTGGTCAGCTTCCCCGGATCAGGAACGCCGGGAAGAGACGGTGCCCGTTGGCCGTCCTGTGCCCCGTTATGACCATTCTTGGCCGAGGGTCGCTGCATGTACACTGAAAAAGAAGAAGACATGTGCCCCTTGAACAGTTTCAACCTGACAACCAAATACAACCACTGGCGACGTCGACATTGACCCAGAACATAGGTTGGGTCAACCTATACATGTACAGTACAGACAAACTCACATGGCCCATGCTGTCAAAATGGACAACTGTTCTCACACATAAACTCACTAGGATCACCACTGAATAAAAACAAACAACAAAGTAGCAAAACCTACGCATACAAAATAGAATAATAGATCCATCCCGGCCATCACATTAACTACCATTGTCACGACTTCAACGCGTCAACGCCGTCGAAAAAACAACAACTTTGGAACCTCTAGAGAATTAAAACAGCACCAAAATCCTCAGTTGGCCACATGTCTCTACCAATCGTTTATCGTAGTCTTCAGAGAAAAAGTCAGGGAATTTTCAGGGGTCGTTTTGTCTAAAATAATAACAGAAAAATAATCGTTTTCTCTTAAAAATAAAAAAATGATCGTTTTCTCTAAAAATAATAACAAAAATAATCGTTTTGAATACAACAATAACAGTAAAGTTATCATTTTCTATATAGAATAATAACAAGAATAATCGTTTCATATGAAATAATAACAGAAAAATAATCATTTTCTATAAAGAAAATTACAGAAAAATTATCGGTTTCAATAAAAAAAAACGGTGTACAAACCAGGCACACTGCGCAGGCTCACTTCCTGGCCCCTGCCCACAGCTCTATCGGGACCGGGAAACGGAAGGCGCCCGGCGGCGGCTTGACGTGAACGATCTGTGCTCTCCAAGCAGAGGTTGGTAGGGAAGATTACAACCTGCAGAAGAAATACGAGGATGTTTGTCGGGAACGTCCAACCAATTGTATTTTAACATTAATGAAAAGTCTCTCAGACAATTATGAATGACGAATCATTGGCTAAGATTACATCGCATGTCTAATTCATGTTATTTGACATATAATGTACCTGATGCAATCATTGTGCAATGAACATTTCATAGTTGACTTGAATCGGCCTGCCCAAAACAGGCTAAAACAACTGAAGATTAATTACCCCTCTGGCATGTTAGGTCATCTCCAATTTGTCACGCATTCTTTAAGTCAGGCAATTAACTCCATAGGTCAGAAAAACTGGCTCTATGTGTCAGTGTTTTGAACGTCTGAACCTAGCTGTCACTCAACCGTGCAGATGCAGGTGGCAGCTGTGTAACGTGTAACACTATATACGTGGGACTGGCGAAACATCTCCAAAGTCTCCACAACAACAACGCGGATTCAAACTTAGTAAAATAGCCAAATAGGGAGTCAATAGATTTTACAGAATGCTATGAAGTGTACATCGAAGTAAACAATAGTTGAAAGATATGTTTGTTCATTAATCAAGATGTTACAAATTCAACAACATGTTCCTCAGATCAACAGAAACGACAAATACATCGTGTGGACTTACCTCTGTTTTGGCCCTTCCGTAAAGGTCTGTTAGACCATCTCGCCGGTGAATTTGATTTTCTTCTATGAGGTGAGGGTCGTCATGGCTTAGCTGGCCTGCTGCGGGTACAGAGATTGAGAGAGGAAAAAAAACATGAATAAATTGAAGTCATTTCTTGGCGTTTAAAAGACTCAATAGAAACTCCGATTGGAGTCTCTGCCGGTACCGGTAGAAATCCCGACCGGAGTCTCAGCCATTACAATCACCATGGAGGTAAAAGAGAGTTTTTCTACCTCCATGCAATCACTAATCTTTTAGGATATGTTATCAAGTTATAGCAATAGAACTCTACCAGGTTGGAGTCTCTACCCAGCCTCAGTACTGTTACAAAGAATTAGCCTGGGTGCCAGACGCTAGCGTTCATAAAGCGATAGATTTTTTTTGTGTCCGCTACTGTATCCGCCGCCCAACCCCAGGCTGCCCCAAACCCAATATCTTTCACCGGACACGAGGAGATAATTAGAGCCAGTGTGCAAATCAGGGTCGGCGGGGCGTGTTGCTTTCCCCGGCCGAGGAATTATCGCTGACTCGCGGTAGAGGATGGCACCCAGGCTATAAAGAATTGGCCTGACGACTTCAGAAACTCAGGGGCTGATCTAGGATGGAAAAAATACTGGCAAGATGTTTCTGGAATATTCAATCTGGACAGGTACGTCTTATCAGAGGGGAGAGGATATTAGGTAAGGGCGGAAAATATTGAAGGAACATGTCAAGTGGTTAAAACTTTACGTAAACAAAATTTCGACAGCCTCTTACATTGTACATGATGGAAGATAACAGGTGCGGTAAATGAACAAGAGCAAGTGAAAAGCCATAATTACTCAGTGGCCAACAATACGTCATAAAAGGCGGGGTCAGTTATAGAATTAATAAAAAATTCTACCCAGACAATATTGCCAGGCAAAGTGCTGTTTGCAGACGAAGCAAAACACCCAGTCTGACACAGTGTGACCAAGACAACAGGCACTCAAAGATATAAAGAAACAAGCAAAAGAAAACTAGTAAAAGAGTAAAAGAAACCGCAAACCACCACATTAATTACTGCGCTCTTAAATGAGGTCACCAGCATCCATGAATCATACGTAATAACCAAAGAAGCAAAGCCACATTAGCTGGGATGCGAAGAGACCTACGAGCAGACATAATCAGTATGCTGTACAGAGCGTTCTAGGATAACATAGAGGCTAGGCAAGGTTTGAGAGAGATGAGTAAATGACATTTCCAAGCACACATGTGCAAAGCACAAGTATAAGAGTGGCTTCAACAAGCAAAACGCCAAGCAAAGAATGACACCAAGAGTCCACGTCTAGCGGAAAAAAATTGACGTAAAGCAGGGACAACAACAACAAAGCGCTTTAATACATACAAGTGTGCTAGGTCTGAAATATGGGAGTCTTTCATTGAATCAGTACATCTAAAATTTTGCACAAATTTTGCATACTATTTCCCCCTAAAGAGCACAAAGAATGAAAAGAAAAATTGACTTACCCTGCAGCTAAGAGGAGGACTGTGTCATGGAACTGAGGAAGAACGTTAAGTTCTGCACTTGACATTGCGATCGAACAAACTTGGCTGGATGACCCAGAAGGAACCGCACGTTCCCAGCGATTTTCTTATCGGGGTTGGTGCATAGGTCGACCGACAAACTCTGGTGAATCTGTGCATCCAGGCCAGCTCTCGCTTCATGCATGAATGACGGGCGAAAGCCAAGAAAGTGCGCGTTTCCCTCCACCTGTATCGCCAGCTCTTGTGGAGGAAGGGGGATGGGACGAGGGCGAGTGCAGTTGTTGCCACTTCTGTTCTAGCGCCTCCACCTCTCGCTGGAGCTCGGCCTCACAGTTTGATGGTCTTCTTCTGTAGGTCCGCCATGGTTAGCGTAGCTGTCGGATAGACCAGGGAATCCTGCTTGTCCTTGCAGTCCTTCCCCGCCTAGCCGGCGTTGTGAGCCAACAGACAGAAGGTGACCTCAGCCGGCACATCGGCGCTGTGTCTTCGGGATGCGTGGCGTGAGAAAGCCGAAAACTGGATAACTCGTACTAGTCTAGTTGGCAGAGAGAATTCTGCCTGTCCTGCCCCTGGCAGGTTGACGTCAGACTGACACGACAGGGGCTGGAAGGCATGCTAATTACAAACTTTCATCCCCGGGGCTCCCAAATATCCACCGTGATTGGTCCGAATAGATTGAATAATTTCAAATTCACCGCAAATCTGATTGACATTTCCTTCAAGAAATCGTGCGTTAACTCGCTTCCTGCCAATTAAATGCCCATTTCTGAGGGTCCTGACATTAACCTACGGGTCAAATTTGAAAAGTTCGTGAACTTTTGACAATGCTGACGGACCCTTTATTTGCTTTTAATAGGTTGTTCTAAATACTCAATAGTTTTGGTCAACATAGCTGCAATGCAAAGACATTGACATCATGGAAGAGTCCACTAATCAAGGAGGGTTTGCGCAGTTACGTCTAGACGTGTCTGACAGGCATCGCATTGGGCTTAACCTCAGGTCGCTACGTTAGCGGTGTGGTTGATAACAATTCACCTCTGTCTAATCTGAGGTCAATTAAAAGACAAGAGGCTTAGACTAAGCGCTATCACATTTCGTTTTCACCGTATGTATACTAGTATTCAACTGCTGTGGGGATTGTACATTTTACAATAGCGGGGTAGAACTTGTGCTACAAACCCACAAACTTACTTATAAGGTTTACGACAAATTCAGGGTCGATCGTCTTCATGAAATGCTTCTCAATAAGTTTTCACAAACATAATTTGCAGTTTGCAGGGCGTTATACTGTACGGATTTTCCTCTAGACGTTCTGCTGCTTATGTACAAAGTAAAGTTGCATAGTTGCAGCTGTTTGTCCTTGAGCGCTATATGATCGCTGTTCAAGGCCGTGTTGTTGGGGATGATACAATAACGCTAGCAGGGGAGAACTGTGTTCCTGTAGAAAGGCTGGGATTTCCCGACAATAAGACTATAATAGTTTTTAAACTGGTTGTGATAACAGCCAGGAGGAGACTCCCTCCCCTGGACACAGCTAATTTTAGGGGGTTTAAAATTGATACAATCACATTATCGATTTTTAGGCAAACAGAGGGATAGAAACCATGGTTAGAAACCAATCAAAATGTGCATATTAATAATTTTCTTTCTTCAGAAGTTTTTTTCTTCTTCTTTTTTTAAATTCAGAAAACAGTATTTTCTTGAATGTGTAGTCCTAAAGATGGGACCACTTATTTAGAGAAGTGGAATTTTGTTTTGGGGTGTGTTTTTTCTTTTGATAAGGGACTTGTTTACAAGGTGAGTGGTGATTAGAAAAAGGATGAGAAGGAACCCTGCAAAAGGTAAAGCACTAAAAGTGAACTTCTGTGTTAGGAATCTTTCGAATTTAGCGTAGAGCGTAGAGAGGCTTCTTGAATTCAGCGCAATACGTAGCCGGCTCTCAGAATTTAGCGTTGTTGGGACCCCCCTTGCAGGGCCCCTTGAAAGGGCTCACACAGCAAATTTTCTGTATCTCTTTGTATTCCCGTCTTAAACAGTGAAAACGCAGTGCCACCGAATCTGTTCTGTTCTCCGTAACCTCATTTCCCTTTCCTCAGGCCAAAGTTGGCAGTCTGAGCAATTTCAAGGACACACAGCTCAGGCGGCAGCGTACCGATACTCCCTCGGGTAAACAGGAGTATGTGGCCTTGAAGCTGTGGCCTTGGTATGGCCAAATCAATGTACTGCCTTACATATGTGTGCTTGCTATAGAAATTAAAAAAAAAACTCTTGATTTGTTTTTTTGATTGGATTCCAGCCAAAACAGTTACGTATTTTAAGGTGTAAGTCTATGGGACAGCGAAATTGGCGTATGAGACCTTAAATACTAGTAGCCGATTTAGCTTAATACACTACATTGCGAACCTGTCTATATTAGCAACCGCTAATATTTCTATCTAGTGAATTTATTATATTCATAACGTTGAAATGCTCTATATATTTGCTAAAACATCATTTCTCAAATCATACAAACAAATATTAAATTTAGTCAAATGTGTTGATTTTCTAAGTTAAACGTCCCTGCGTATTTGTAAATCTGATCAGGCACTACAATAATTCCACAGGACAGCCTACTAGTTCTTAAAGTTCCAGGCGGGAGTTCGAAGTTTGGACAGAGGAAGAACTATGGAGATATTTCAACTTTCACGTCGAAACAAACGTCTTACTTCGGATCAGATAAGACGGGACAACTCCTTAAAGATGAAGATCAAGGTCTTGAGCCGAAATTCGGACGATTTCGCACGGGAAACAAAGCGGAGAATCCAGAGACGTGAGTAAAAAAAGCGGGCTAGCGCACCCCTCCCCCTTATAACTCAATATAGAGGCCAGATAGAGGCATTGAGTAAATGCAAATTTCAAGGCGTCAAAACCAACAAAATATATTCTGGATGAGGAAATCTATCTGATATTGACCTTTACTGTAATTCCGTAGCACATTTTTTGCCATCATTTTAAACTCGAAGCATTTGGAATAGCCTCAATTTAAACATGAAACAAGTTGCGTGAGGCGTCTCTTTATTTTTTGGCACTGTCCATAAATTATGTAGAGCCTACTGTACAAAAATACAATGTAGCAATTGTTAACATCAGCGACATCGTATTTTTGCCTCACATATATCAGTATGCTATGGGATAGGATTGATTCAACTTACTACTTTTAAGAAATGACCAAGAAATTGGCTATGAAAAACCATTTTTGCCAGTCTGAAATTGCCTTTAGACAGCTGTGTGTACATGCATGAGTGCACAGGGAGGTCGTAGATTGGGTAGAATAGTGAGCCAAAATGGGTTGTTGGTCTGCTTTATCAGACCGAGGCTAAAGGCGGTAGCGTTTTGGTCGTAAATTTTGCAACTTGTTTTCTGTACGCGTGAATTGGGCCAGACTCGGTTGTAAATTCGGACTTAATCCAGACCGAGTTTGATAGCATCCACTTAAAATTGCCTGATTCACGACTAAAAAGTCTGAGTATGGTATTAATTTCTACGATTCCACCGTTATGACAATAAGTACTAGTAACGTTTCCAAGACTATACAGAAATATCGACTGACAGACATTCCTTTGCCATGTTAAATTCAGCTGCCATGTCAACTTGGTCAGAAATTCTGGCACTTTCTAGACCAACATTTGACTATATTTGATAGCAGCACGTCAACAAAACATTCTGCTATCAACATTTTTGATGGATTTTTTGGTCAAAGTTGCATTTCACCTGTTGCAGACCATATCTCTTCTGACATAACATTTGGAAACTTCAGACAGGATATTAGCCTTACACGTATCTACTAGTAGGTGAATACGACCTTATATGAGATATACTGCCAAAGTACTATGCACAATACAGTGGGGGTTTGGGGCACTGGTGCAGTACATTCTGCCGACATGCTTTCGAGAAAACCACCTGATTCACAGGTAAAAAGATTCAATGGCTTATTTCATAATCTATGTCACCAAGGCTATACTCGCTGCATTTGCCATGACAACAAGTAACGTTGCCAAGACTACAGAAACTACAATGACTGACAGCTCAGCGCAGCACATCCATATCAACTCTGGTGAATTACTAGCGTACTGGTGGGTACTAGTACGCACCTCACTAGGACTGTGCTGACGGTTTTCGGAATAACAGATATTTGATTGAATTGACCACATGCGTCTTGGTTTTGGGCTCGGTTTGGGACTACAACGGAACAGACAAAAACATAAATACATGTAACAACAATATTCTCCCATGTGACCAGCAGAGCTGTCGTGTAGCATACTTTATGTCATACAAGGGGTTCAAACAGTTATCACACATGCTTCCAGAAGTTATAGGCATAGAATAATTCGGACATGTTTCTGGTGCACCATTGCGCCACTTTTGAAAACTCGAATACCAGTTTTGGACTTTGGAATTGATGGGACAACCCTCTTGTTTCCAAGATGAATATGTTTATTGTGTGTTTTCTAGGGTGATTATGACATACATAGAATACAACATGGTTACTATTTCGCATCACCCTCAGTACCAGCCCTCCCGCAGTTTGGATCTCCTCTGGCCATCGGGCGATCAGACCTGCGGTACCTTGGGTGATATGGAATGCACTGTGTTGTATTTTGTATGTATCTGATCAAAGATGCTGAATTCACAATGCTCCCCTCCCACCTGTACCATTAGTTTTGTATACATCAAGTCCAAACTGGAAAACTGTTTAAAGCATGGCATGATGCTCTATGCCACATGCATTGCATATAGGGCTTCGATTTAATGGAAACATTGATTATACATAATGAAATGTTGAAATGACTTACTTACTTGTGAGTTGAAATGAAGTTATGCCAAAAAAATACCTCGCATACGAATATAGTTTGAACATGAATCTACTACATGTACAACTTGAGACTTGTTGACAACAGGCCAACTCACTGCAGGTAATTAGCGTTCTGATTTATGTTTGCTGCAGGCTTCATCCGGTGTTTTGATGTCGCAATTATCTCGCCAAAGGCAACAATCTTTTCAGCGTTCACTTTTGTGGAGTCAGTGAGGAACTTCAATGGCCTATAGCTAGAAAATGTATCAACTGTGATTTTTAAGCAAAATAAGGAGAAATCTTGTATAATTTTCACATAATTCAGAATAGGTACTAATTAAAAAGGCCATGACCTTAAGGTCATCCCTACTACCAGGTGTACTTTTAGTAGATATAATTGGGATCAGAGGTCACCCTGAAACTCCCAACAGAAAACAATAGTTCTCAAGTTAACAGCCTGGCATGTAAGTTAGATAAATGACACCATAGGCAGATAGGGACATTAGACTAGAGTACGGCTGATTTCACCGTATCACTGTATGAAAAACCACGTTTCCAAGAGTTTCCAGTCTCGCACACGCCCGTGAAATTCGCCGTGTCCTGGTCGC